ACATTTTAAAAACCCCTTAATTTTAGCAAAGATTTCCCCTTGTGACTCAGGCAAGTTTCTTAATGTCTTGGTCGGTCTAATAAAATATATATGCTGAACAGAAATTCAATAACAGCAAACAAAGAAAGAGCCAAAATCAAGTCAGAAAGTGAAGGGAGACAAATTCAGAAAGAACTACTCTTAGCAATGCATTTTTAGACATCAGAACACATACCCAGGCTGGACAATTAGTGGAACAGCAAACTTTATTGAACACATTAAGACAGCAAGCATGGCAATGGATACACAAAGGAGATGCCATTTCCAACAGCAAATTTGAAAATTTCTTATGCTGGTGACAAAGCTGAAGACCACAATTCAATGTCCTGAATATTTTCACATTTGGGTGACTTTTTGATATTTTGCTGCAGCAATCCTGCCAAACTAGTCCAACCACTGCCTGCAACAAGGATAGACTGCAAATGAGAAAGGCATCTTTTACAAAGACTGAAACAAACAGGACAAAACTCAGCTGACACATTTTGGCAGCTGTTGTGTTTATTATCAGCAGCTTTTGAAAGTAAACTCAAAACAGTGCCATAACATTTTTTACTTAGAATGAGCTCAAGACCACAAAGTGAAATGATTAGACAATTCTGAGAAAAAAAATAGAGTTGTCAAAGTGTGTTGCATAAGGGAAAGGTCTAAACATAAATAGGAATGGCTTTGACAGAAATTTCTGCTTGAAAGTATGCAAAGGTCGCAACTTAGTTGTTTCAAAAAAGGACTAAGGATAAATGGGAAAAATACATTATTCTCCTGTTTTCTGAAATATTTTTTTCCTGTAGCTTTTGTGTTAGCTCTAGTCTTCAGTGTTCTGTTGACTGAAATGCAATGCTATATAAGACACTTTGAGAAAGCAAGCAAGTTATTCCCTTTATTTGACTGTTGCTCTCATAAAACAAACAAAAAAAATCTGCAGTGGATGGATTTTCTTCTTTAAATACTGAATTGAAAGTCATTGTGATGACTTTTGACAGCATTCAAATTAAAGTACTTAACCTTAAACTATCTGTTTAAAGCCTGACTTGTATAGCACCTTTTTAATAGACTGGAAAGCCAATCTGATGACAACAAGAACCCAAATTCTGTTCCATGCAGGGAGCCAATTTATTCCAATTACTTCTGTCTGGAAAAGTGGAAACAACAAAGTAATAGATATTTCACCATGTTACTTTAAACAAAGATAGGCTTTGATCTGTATGAAACTAAGTTTGAGCTCAGTAAGTAACAAGTAGAACTTGAGTTATTACAAACAAGGGCATTTTGGGCCCCTTTCTATGCTCAGTCCATGGATGGCAGGATGCTGCCTGGAGCTAATGGATTTTTCCAGCTGCCAGCAAGCAACCTCAGGGCACCAAGCCCACTTGTGTACTCAGCATGGAAATCCAGTTCCAAGGTAATATGATCAACCTCCCAGAGTCAGTAGGTTTGTGAGTCTTGTGGCCAGATTACTTTTTAATTCATGTGTGTTAGTGTTCCCTAAAATCGGGAGAAAAAGACTCACCAGGCAATTATTAGTATAGACAAGATACAGAGCAGGTCTTTAATGAAGGCCTTCTGGTGCAAGGAGTACAAAGGTGCATGTCCAGGAGTTCTACAATTTATGGTCTAATACAAGAACTATTCGCCCCCAGATCCTCCCCAAATCTGCCCCTCTGACACGCCTCCCTGAAAACTGAGTTGGAGGTCCCAAGATCCCTTTCTTCCATCTTCCTCTTCTTCACAACATGTACTGTCTCTGGAGTTTCTCCAAGGTTCTGGGCTTGAAGGTTGCTTTGACTATGAAGGTATCTTTCTCAGCCCTGGGATGCGTATGTTCTTAAACAGAATGTGTTTACTATAGTCCTGCCTTGAAAGGAGCCTAAACAAGCCTAAAGAATTTAGAAAATTCAATATGAAATGGGGGAATAGGGTTTGTTAAGTGATAACTACTATTCTAAAGTGACAGACTGTACAGCTATACTAAAAAATCTATATTTACTACACAGCTACTTTAAAATCTATGAAAAGCTAAAAATCCTAAAAATTCTGAGGCATCATTACAATACTACAAAATTCCCTCCTACTTCAAGAATGATTTACAATTAATCTGTGCTCTGCATACTCCAGAAAATCCATGTCACAAAGAAAACTGAGCTAAGGAACTAAAGAGTTCCTACTCCAGTGTCTAAGACCAGGCAGGAGTTCACACTGCATTCTTTCCAAGACTTAAAGGAATCAATAGCATTCCCTCCTATTGCATCTACCTCTTTTTTGTAAAACTCAGAGGAAATTCATTATCTTAGTGATATCTATTCTCACAACTTCAGCCGACTTTGGTTGATGAACTCAGAAGGTTTTGGGGCCAAGTTAAATAGACAGTGACCAAATGCAATCCTCCTCAAGAAACCAGGTTAAAAAGGAATCCTAAGGAATTACTACTACTTACCTTCTTTATAGTCTTCCTTTTTTGGACTTGACTTTGGCTTTGCCAACTGCCTACATTAAGAAAGAGGACAGAGGAAAGGAGAAAAGAATTGTTGAATTAGAAGTATTGTAAAGAAATGTTATATGGCATTGCATTGTATAGTTCCCCCTTGAGACTTCAAGGAGACTCCCTCAGGGAACTTCACCAGGTTTATAATCTGGTGCTCCACATCATGCAAAGAAAAGCCTGCAGACCCCAAAGAGGATTCAGACCCCAAGTCTGCTACAGACCATATGAACACATTTCTTGAAGAACAGATGTTATTCAAGAAACTTTTAAAAGAAGAGTGAGCCTAGTTCTAAGGCACTGGCCCTGACATTAACATACTCATATTCCCCTGCAGACTTTTAGTAGTAAATTTACCATGACATGACTCACTGTGCATGCTTCTCTTTTCATTGTATAAATTTAACAGGGATTGAACACCTAGAAATACAATATCTCATAAACTGTCGACTGACATTTTCCCTTAATATTTCCAGGCTTTTGTCAAAGCTAGAGTCTGAACAGGATGTCATGACAAGCCTCACTCCAAGATAGGGCTCTGCTGAAGAGTAGACCATTTCTGAGTTGGATCTGGTTTGTCTTTATTTTCCACAGAAATTCAAAACAGCCTGAAGAGATGATCCTAACTTGGAAAGAGCAGAGAAGAGTTTTAGCTTTTGAAGGCTATGTTAAAAACACAGAACTCCTCAAAGTGAAATTAATCAGTTATTCGATTAGCAAAACTGAGATGCAGAAAGCACAGGCTACTTGATATCCTTTAGAGTCATGTAAGTTGTCTCTTTTTTTACTAGGGTAGATCAAGACTATAAAAAGCTTAAGTAACATTTTCACCAGGTTAGGTTATCCGCTTTAATTAAGTACAAATGAGTCCTGATTTCTAAACAATTTTGGTTTTAAAGCATTCAAAGTAGTACTTATAAATACTTGACTAAGGAGTATTTCACAGGCACTTCAGGCCAGTTAGAATGCACTCAGAGGTCACGTACATTTTGTGTCGAGCACCGGTTTTTACGAATTTTTGTCATCAAAATGGTGAGTGCTCTCTCTGTGACCATTATCACAACTAAAGCAAAGAAGTCTCTAAGCTAATCTTCATAAGATAACTTTTCAGATAAGAAACTGAATCAAAATAAACGGGGAAGGGAAAGACAAATACAGCAAATCACAAGACGGTGCAGAAAGTTTCTATTTCCCAGGCCTGCAGGTGCCCCAGGGACTGGCTCTCGCACGCTGGCACAGCCCCCGGGAGCAGGGCTTGTGCTGAGCCCCCTTCAGCCGCGGCACGGCCAGAAACGGGGGTGGCGCTGGGGTGGCCCGTCCGGCTGCGACAACGCCTCCGACGGCATCCGCGGGCGCTCACCTCAACACTCGATTCTCCCCTTTTCTCCCTCGACGGGATCCGATCTCCGGTGCTTTCGCGCGGGGACTCAGCTTTCCCAGCTCATCCCAACAGCTCCGAAGGCTCCCGGCCGGCAGCGGAACGCCCACGTCGACGGTTCCTCCTCTGTGTTCCCGGCTCACATGCACCGCCTCCCGCCCCCCGCCCCGGTACTCACGGCCCCGTCAGCTCTCCAGACACCCCTGATCCCGCGGCTCTGGCGGCGGCCGGAACCCGCCTGGAACATCCAGATGCGGCGGCTACTGAGCGGGGGGGGTACGAACTCGGAGCTGGAGCCCTGGAGGTGGGGTGCCGCGCACCCTGCCCGCCCCTGCACCGGCTGCTGCTGGGGAGGGCCGCCGGGCGGCGGGAACGGGGCAGGGAGTGCCCCGACACCCACCCCCGGGAGACGACAGGCAGCCGGAGTCACAAGCGCTGTGTCTTACTCCTGGCCTCTCGGCTCGATTCTCTTCATTAGAAATGAAGTTGGAGGAAAAAAATAAGCAGTTCTCGTGTATTACAGTGACAGATTCTTACAGAATCAATACCTTTAGAAGAATTTCATGTTGCTTTCATGAAAAGAAAATATTGTTGTCACGAAACAAGTTCTTTCATCCAGTGTGCAAGAAGCCGATCCACACACAGAGTCGAGGTATTTGATTTATTTGCAGAAATTATCCACAAAGCCAGCATACTGAGTATCACAACATTTCACTATTCTTAGCAAAGACACTAATGTTCATTGGCTCCAAATTCCATAGTCCTCTTATTAATTAGTCTTCTGTTGGTTAAATAATTCTGTCACTTCACATGCCCACATGCTCAATCTTCTTTTGAGCTAGTGCCCTTCTTACTTCAGACGGTGTCTTCCTTTCTTGAACCGGTGGGCACGGTCTCCTACTGTCAGAATTACCCTTACTTAGTTTCACAAGATAGCCTTGTTTTGTTCCTTATAATCTGGTGTTACCTTAGTCGTTTTGCCAAGTGTCACTGGTTCTGTTATGTCTGGTTTCAGTTACGTGCTTAAAGTTTCTTTCTTCTATTCTTTTTTCTCTACCTGTTACAATTACTGAGACATGATAAACACAACTTATCTATTTGGGAGCCATATATGAACATTACAGTATGTGAAGTATGCTGAAGTCAAGTATCACAGCCAACTGAGGGCTGCAATTTCTTTCTTCATTTCCTAATAAAAAAAAAGACAAATTATATTCAGTTTGAATATAAGCTTGATAACTCTGTTTACTTCTTCATCAAAGAATCAAGAATCTGTACGTACATACAGTTGTTAGTAATATTTAGCCAATGTGCTACCACCATCCCAACATCCTTCTAGACCCATTAGCTTCAAACTCATCCTTAGGCACCCAAAATAGAGAGTAGGCTAGAGAGACTGCAGGGATCTGTATCAAGGGACAATGGATATCTATCAACGGTACTTTGAACAATGAGGAAGAAGATAGTTCCTGAAGAGCCACCACTGAAAGCTGGAGCTGTTCTGTTCTGCACTCTGAACAGTATTTGAGGACTTGTTAAAGTCTCTCTCTTCATACAGTAGTGATTGCTTCTGACTGACTTGCACAGCCACTCTGAATAGGAGATATTTTTTGATTTAAGCTTAAGGTAAAAGAAATCAAACAAAGAAATCAGGTCCAGTCACAAAAGCTGACAAGCCCTGATATAACATAAACAAATCCCTTCCTGTTCCAAAACACATCAGTATGCTAGATGAGAGAAGGGTGCATTTTTCAGGAATGGCCTCCCTGAATCCAAATAATTCTCAGTGCTTCACAGTCAGAACAGACCATCCATTCTAACTCTTTATCAGACATTGAAGAAGAGATCGAGATGATCAGGGCTAAAAAAGAAGAGACTGCCTCTTTTGTTTCAAGGCAGAGTGAGAGGCATAAAGAATTTTATCTATTCTCAGGCACAAGCATCTGAAAGACAAATGGATTCCAGGAAGCTGAAGACAGACTATCCAACCTGTCTAAATCAACTCAGTACTGAGAATGCCTTACTGGGGTCATGGGTACCCATGAAAGATTTCTGCCAAGTTATGACAACTCAGAAAACCTCTCTTAGAGGAAGAGATTAAAGAGTTGGACTCAGTGGCATCAAACCATCATAGGCAGAAAGCTCCCCACATGTAAAATTAAAGATGCTTGAGCTGTGTGAGTTAAAGAGAAAGTATACTGAGACTAAAGTCTCAGATTCTTGTAATATTTCATACTTAATTTGTTTTCAAGAATGAAATGACTACTACACAAGTGTTACCATGTGTGACTGCCTACAAGGGAAGAAAGAGGAAGTGGCAGACTGAGAAAAGAACCCTCCTTTCTCAGCCTTCCATCCCTGAAAAGGTTCTGGAGAAGGCATAGTGGGGTCGACTGCTTTGAGAGGTCTGTGGGGGTGGCCCCATTGTCTTCAAGCCTATTCCTGCTGGAACTGCCAGCAATATTAAGCTATTAGAGTATGTCCAAAGGAGGGCAACAAAGATGGTGAAGGGCCTTGAGGGGAAGCCTTATGAGGAGCAGCTGAGCTCATTTGTTCTGTTTAGTCTGGAGAAGAGGAGACTTAGAGGAGACCTCATCACACTCTACAACTTCCTCATGAGAGGGAGAGGAGGGGTAGACACTGCTCTCTTCTCTGTGGTAAGCAGTGACAGAACCCAATGGAGTGGCCTGAAGTTGTGTCAGGGAAGTTGTGTTAGGGTGGATATTAGAATAAGGTTCTTCATACAGAGGGTGATTGGGCACTGGAACAGGCTCCCCAAAAAAAGTGATCACAGCACCAAGCCTATCTGAGTTCAAGAGGTGTTTGGACAACACAGCACATGATGTGACTTGGGGATGGTCCTGTGCAGGGCCAAGAGTTGAACTTGATGATCCCTGTGAGTCTCTTCCAACTCAGCATATTCTGTGAATTATGCCAAATACAAACTATGGTTTTGCAATATAGATAAATGTCTTCCAGACTAAAATGAAAAAGTCTTGTAACACAGGCAACTAAGCAGTAAAGAGTAATGCTAAATAAGTACTATGTTCACAGTGCACACATACATAGGCATAATAGACACACACACATAACAGTGTGTGACAGAAAGTGTTATATAACAAAAAACTTACCGTCACTAATTCAGTTTTGTCAGCATCATCTCGATGTCGGTAAATGCACAGGCTAAGGATAGAATATAGTTTTTCCATGCTCGATATACTGACGCTTTCAGTTGCCTCAACAATAGAATCCAACACTTGCTGAAGAAAAAAAAAGTGGAAATTACAGTTTCGAATAGCACAAAATATGTCCTACTTTCTTATATTGTTAAAGAAAAGTGGCACTTCAGAGAACTGATTAAATATCTGACAAGATTTAACTTGAGAAAATGGGTTAATTTTTCACACTTCAGAGAAAAGGAAGGCTTAAAGTTCAGACAATACTTTTTTACTCATCATTCTATGATATCAACAATCATAATTGACAATTAACTGCCCCCAGAACAGCAGGGAACAACACAATCCAGTTTGTCATAGAGTAGCTACCACAGCAAAGCCACAATTGCATTTCATTAGAATGTCATACAGGGCCCTGGAAAATGTGTCTTTGGAAGCCTGGCTACAGATCTTCCAGATACAGCTGTGTCAGTCAGAAATGGAAGCATCCTTAGGTGCCCACCTTTACCCATTAGCTGAATGTGTACTGTGCCTAACATCAGTTAGCTCCTACCTTTCAACTCAAGAGACTAGCAGAGAGACTCCCTGTAGCAAATTACCAATCTCTCACACAGTCCTTTCTGTTACCAAAGATGTGAATGTGATAATCTCTGAGAAAGCAACACTAACATGCTAGCAGCAGCACTGCTGGGGCTGTACAGTAGCTCTGTGTTGTGTGAGGCTGTGAAAATGTAGCTTAAGACAGCAACCTCAACAAATGAAAATATTACTGCCTCACAACCACTTACCACTAACTCAGCCTCCCTCAGATCAGCTAGCACAAGATCTGAGCATTCCTCTCATGTCAGATGTGAGATAAGACACACAAAAACCATGCAGCATGCTTTCAGCTGCTGCAGACACAAAAGGTAGGGCATGACAGAGGTGTGTGGCCAGCATCGCATGTGATACTATTTCTAATTGCTGCCACATAGGTAACTGTATGCTCTTCTATTTCATCAAGTTCTACGCCTATTACCAAGCAAATAAACAAAAAAAACCCCAGCAACCAAAGCAACCAACCGAACAAATAATCAAAATCCCCACCCCATACAAAACCAGGAAGCTATATTTTGGAGGTTCATCCAGCTTCTTAACTGCAGGTGAGTTCCAAAGAACTTCTCTGGTACAAGCAGCAAGTTCCAGTGGCACCCATGTTAATTAAACAAGTTTTTTAAAAAGACATGTTTCATGATTGTTGCTCTCTCCTCACAGCTGAAAAATACATATAAGCTGAACCATCTGTAAGGGCTCTACCACATGATTTCCCCAGTGGGCAATAACTTCAGAGCACATGCTGTTAGCAGCCTGAGTTTGGAAAAACATATGTGGCTTCTCTCCATGCACAGGCAGACACGAACAAGAAAACCACCTGAAATTTGCTTATTTAGGACACCAGCTTTAAAAAGATACTTTCACCTCTAAAAATTAAGTCACAGCTTAAAAATGTGACAGAAATTATGTGGACAAACCTCTTCAGCAAAGGGGATTCCACTCTGGTCACATTGTCTTCATGCAGAAGAAACATCCAAATAATACTCCCTTTCTCAGGCAGGTAAACAGCAGCAGCATCTGCTTTGACCAACCTCCAGTACTTCAATGTAGCAATTTCCCACATTTCTGTCACAACAATATCCCCTGAAGACCAGGTTCTTCTTCTACCCTCTCCAGTTCATGCAAATAAATCTCTTTTACCCCCTGCATCTAGGCCCAATTTTGACCCTTTCCCCAACTCTAATCTAGGATAACAACTTTTCTCCTATAGGGAACTGGAATAACTTATGACACTATAACTGTGTGAATGCAAAATTCTAACTCTAGATTTTGAAATAATTTGGGAAAAGCAGGTATTAATATTTTAACCAGGATGAGCTTAAAGTCAACCTGCTATCTTCAGGTTTAAAGCCATGACTGCTAAAAATCAAGGTCCTTTTCCATTTCCTAATAAGTGAAAGCATGCAAACAGCAAAACAAAACAACATCCTCCTAATATATCGTAAAAACTGCTAAGACATTAATAACCAATAGCACAAGGAGATTGTCAGTGGGCTATCTTAAAATTTAACACGCCCTTTTACATTAAAAATTAGGAAGAGAACCCTGTCTCCTAAAATATAATTCACCAAAAGCAAGAGCAGCAGTCTAGAACAGCTGTAGAAACAACAATTGCATGTTGAATTATTTCACAAGCTGTATATCCCTCCCATAAATTGCTTGAAATTGCATTGGTTAGCAAACAACTTAATTTACAACTACACAGGTAACAAGAAAACTGACACTGTCTTGTGTCAGTATTAACAAAATTGAAATTAGACTTATTCTGAGCTCAGAGTAATCCACAAACACTCCCTGTGCCTGAATTTTCATTGCTTTCCTGTCACATACTCGCAGTTGCTCATCCACCTGAGAACATCTCGCATGAGTCACACGGTGTACCCGTGAATCTGGAATGACACAGATTTCTTAAGTCAAGATTTCTCTTTATCTGGAATACAGTATCAGTGAAGGTACTGTATATACAGAGTACTGTATATAAAGTACCTCTCTGTAATAACAGAGAAAACACAGAAAAATGACTGATAGAAAATTACCACCAAAGCAAATACTGTAGTAGCTATTAACTTACAGTAGCAAAGTTTTATGAGTAGAATATCCTCACCTGCATTGGTTTTTGATGCAGGAGGTTCAGCAGCTTGCTTCATGACCAAATCCTCAAAAAACCCTCTTCTTTCAGCACAGGTAGGCCGCGGGATTTTGAAAACTTCTTCACGATTATTATCAAACAATGCTTTTATCTAGAGCATGAGAGGAAAAGACATTTCAGACGTAAGGCCACA